TTCTTTGTAAGGCGTGTGGAAATGACAAATGAGGATGTGTCCATGGGATAAAAAAATAATATAAAATATTTTATTTCACTTATAAATGATAAGTTACTACGTCTATCTGATTCTTAACATAAGAACTAGTTTAACATTCAATTTAGTTCTAAATATAAAACACCAATTTAATATGTCTCTTATATTTATCTATGTTTTTAGTATAGTTTTCGTAATAATTGTACATATTTAAAAATTTTATCACATGATAGTTTTTGCTAATAAAAGTATTTTAGAAAGACAACACCTATTTATTACAAATAACTAACTTGATTAGTTTTCTTAATCTATTCAAATTAACTAATCAGTTCTTAGATTAAATATTGAGGGAAAATAGTATAATTGGTATTATTTAAAATGATTGCTCATCCTTTTCCGGCCGAAATAAAATTGTTCATCTTTTTTTATAGTCACACTAGCTTGATCTTTGAGAACATTTTTAGGTCGTACATATTTTAAGAAGCACTAATGATAAATTTAAAACCACCACAAATGGACTAACCTTCACGATTGATTATCATTTAACTTTTCAGGGCCCCTTTTTTAAAAAATATGTTACTATATTAAGGTCAACCTAACATTTTCCCCCCCAAAATCTTTTATATTTTAGCCTATCTAAACTAATTAACCAAAGATCTTACTGGCCCAACAAAAGAAAGCTAACTGGACAAACCCGTTCCTTCGGCATTTCGAACGCCGATGCGCCGATGCACCAGTCTCTTAAAATTAAATTATATACACTACTCGCCTTAAAAAATACCATATGGTACAGAGTCCATGAATAGAAAATTGTAATTTTTTTGTCCTTATTTGATTTACATGGATCATACTCCAATCATTTAAAACGTATGAGACAGTACATAATTTGGAAGATTACCAATTTGAAACATGAAAATTTGAAGGAAAAAAAAATCCAAATATCATCCCCCTAATTAGTCAAATCTAAGAAAGAAAAATTCTAGGATTACATTAAGAAAAAAAATACCAGTTTCTTTTTTTCAATTTATGGAAGGAATCCAACATTATCTCTGGGCCGTTGGTGGTGGCTAGTCGAGCTATTAGCATAATCATTATTAGCTGTAGTGGCATTATCATCATGTCTGGACTTGAGCTCTGGTTCACTACCGCTAGTTCCGGTAGCTTCACCGCCGCGAACCGCCGGGTAAAGGCCGCACCTACGGCACCTCGGAGGCAGAACAAGAATCTGCCGACACGAGGGGCACGAAGAGTGGGACCCAAGCCAGGTGTCTATGCACGCCGCGTGGAAGCCGTGGCCACACTGCGGAAGAACTCGGATCTCGTCAGCTCCGACGAATTCGGCCAAGCAAATCGCGCACTCCGACGCGGCCAACCACTTCTCAGAATTGCTGTCAATGTAAGTGAATTTCGGCATGGATTGGAGCACCTTCTTCTTGAGACCTTTGTTGGCCAGAGACTGTCCCGGAGCTCCACCGCCGGCTCCGGATCCACCGCGACGGAACCAGGTGCATCGGCAGACAGCTATGAGGGCCACGGTGCATATGAGAGCGCAGAGCAGAGACGCGAGGATGACCACGAAGTCTGATTCCAAAGCGACGGCCTCCGGAGGCGGCGCTGCTGCGGTGATGGTGGCAGCGGCGGCGACGGAGGTGGAGTTCTCAGTGGATTTGAGAATACGAGTCATGGGAAGGGCGTGAAAGGGTAAAGTGGCAATTGCGAGGTGTGCTGTAAGAAGGACACAAGGGAGAGAGAAGTGGGTATTTATAATTGGGGATAAGAGACGATAGTGGCATAGAGGATGATTACCTCTCGTCCTCAAGTAAACAAAATGCTTGACTTATAAACCCCACAGCCACTCAACGGCCAACGTCTGGTTTCAGTGCAACTACACTGCTAATTCCTCTTCCCACTTTTGACTTGTCTGCCTTCTTAATACTTATTCGGCGCACATCGTTACTTTTTTTTTTAATATTACCTTCTCTTTTAATTATAAAAACTAATTGACTAATTTTAAAAAATTAAAAAAATAAATTAAATTAGTTATTTATAATAAATACGTGTTTTTTTTCAAAAAATATCCTTGTTAATCAAGGGTGTTGATAAGAACTATCATTATTAGAAGGACAATTTGGGAAAAAAATGCATAAATATTAGAAACAAAGTGGATTGAGGTTTTATATTTATGACCAAAATAAAAGTCAAATGAGATCTTATATTAAGGACCGGAAGTAGTATTATTTATAAGTTTTAAATTTTTAAAACAATATAATTTGTTTTATAAATTTTTATTTGAATTTGACTTAATATTTAGTTTTTTTATTTTTTTAATTATTTCTTTCTTGACGCATTTTCTTACAAATTTTTTTAATCTTTTTTCTTATTTATTATAAAGGCATATTTAAAAATAAAAATTTACTTCTAATATATTTACTATTATTTTAAACTAATTTTAACTAATTATTTGCTATCTATGAATTAGTTATTTTAAAATTATAATAAGGATAGGAAGAAGTATAAATTAATTTGTGGAAAAATTTTGTTCTTAAATATAAATTATTTATTTAATTTTGTGGGAAAGAGAAAAAGGGAAAGAAATGCGAGAATGATTTATAAATATAGGGAGAGAAAAAACTTTAGCGTGAATAAATTTAAAATTTTTTATCAGTTCAACATATCACTTACTACTTAGTATGTGAACATACTTTTTACAAGACACTTTGAAAAAGCCATAAATAATTCTTATGAACTTATCGAGATATTAATCAAGTTTTTCTTAAATATTACTCTTATTTTTATTAAGTATGGGAGAGAATATAATGCAAATATAAAATTTTTTTATTTGAATCTTAGTAAAATTAGAAAATTCATTATATTTTCAAACAAAGTTAATAGTTTAGTCACCCCTCCTCCGATTCAATGAAACTTTACAATAGTTTTTTTTTTTTTGGGGGGGCCAGAGGTTTATATTAGGGATCACGGGAAGTGAGTTAGCTAATGATTTTTAAAACTGTCCAATCTTTTTATATTCGTCCTTATTTACTAGTTGTCTCATTTAGAATATAGTATTAATTACACCCTAATTTTGAACATCTTTTAAAAAGTGTTCTTAATTATATCTTAAAAGAACGAAAATACCTTATATTTTTCTAACACGATACTTAGCAAAAAAATGCCGCATAATTTAAAAAAGAGAGAGTGTTGCCCCTAAGACTCAAAGGCGTATTTTTATAATTAAATTATTTTTGGCAGGAAATGGTGTTATTTTGAAGGAACGAAAGGTCAAAATACACTGGCCTCTAATTAGCAGAGGTTGAAGTGGATAAAAATTTTCCGACGTGGTGTGGATATTTGATTTTGGTTTTTAGTTACCACATTTAATCAATTAATACATCAATCAATTGTAAAGCAGTACTCTGATTTCAGATCACATGTTTTGGCCTGTTAATGGGCAAAATGACAAAACTAAAATAAAGGCAATCTATAAAAACTATATTCACCCTATAATTTATTATTCTTTTGGCTGTTTTTTAAAAAAATACATATATTAAATAAAAATAAAATTATTAAGTAATTAAATTGTAAGATAGAGTTAGTGAAGTTTATTAAGGTTCTCTCAATTCTGATAAAATGAGTTAAAAATGTCTTGTAAATAGGATGAGCCAAGTATTTAAAACTAAAATAAGCTGACACTGATTTTAATATTTAATTTCTGAGATGCGTGTCTGTCTATAACCAAAAATGGAAAAAAATAAAAAATTCCAAGGATATGCATACAAGTGGAAAACTTTCCTAGATTACTGAATGATATATAACTGATAATACTAGCCATGCGATTGATGTTTGGATTCTGCAGTTTCTGGCATATGTTGGTCATCTTCATGCTCCACTCTCACACTAAAACTGGTTTTGAATGATATAGGCGAAGGAGAGAGAGGGTCTGATTCAATATCTGAGTTATCTTCTTGTTGTTGGCTCTCATAGGGGGAGTGGCCAGTTGTTTTGAAACGACGTAGTTTGGTTGCAGAAGAGGGCAGTGATCCTGATGAAGCATTGGATTGGTTGTTACTAGGAGACTTGTTTCCTGCCTGCTTCTTTTTCACAGCCATTCGCCAGTTCTTTAACGCCTTTGATGTTTGCTCATCAAATATGGACGTCTTCATCGTTGATCCCATCTGCAAAAACGCAGCGTTTCCCATTATATATTTAATTAATTAACAAAATGATCATCTCAATAATTATTTAAATAATTAATAAATGGAAGATATGTACGTACCTGGGTTACAAGAGCGTATAATGGAAGTGTAATGTAGCTGCAGAGACAGAGAACTGCAGTCCTGCAAAAATCCATTCAGAATAGGTTGTTAGAAGTTGGTCTCCCAATCCCAACTTACACCAAAACCAATGTTGAGGTGTTCGCGCCTTGTAGCCCAACTAACACCAACTATCTTCTTCAAGATTTTTTTAAACATAAGACTGTGAGTTCGAATCTTTGATAGGGGTATGATATATATGTGAGTAATTGTTTAAAAAAAAGAAAGAAACAAGATTTGGACATGGTTTCATGATTAAAATCTATTTTGAGTTTTTTTTTTAATTGTTTGGCTAGCATGTGGTTGATACCTTAATTTAGACCAGAAAGTGATTTTAGAAAGCTCTCCCAACAGTCTAGTGTTTGTGTATGGCTATGGCAAGTCCACAACAGTTTTAGTTAATTCTGGGTGGAGTCAGCTACCCTTTCTCTATCTCACTAGTCACTCTAGTCTCTATGTATGATATAGGATATTTTTTTTTTTTTTAAGAAGCCATGCTTTTAATAAATAATCAACAATATAATTCATCTTAAGCTGGTCAAAAATAAAAAATCATCTTAAATTCCACGCAAACATAATGTCACAATCTATTCATTAAGAGCATTTAAATCCTATTTAAGAGGGGTCACATCATTGCTGAGAAAGGCTTACCCTAATGCGACTTTCACAATGGCAAGCTTGTAGTCCATATGGAAACAATTTTTTAGCCCAAAAGAATACTGCAAATACAGGGGCATTACCGTAATTTTAGGAAGGCAGCACAAAGACATGTGAATTAGTTATTCAATAATAAGTGAAGGAAGAAAATAGCTCATTACCCATATCCACAAGAAATAAGTTATTTGAAAAGCATTCTGCAGAATAAGAAAATCTGTGAGTTTCCACCTTTAATCACCAGAGAAAAGCTAGAAGGCTAAGAAGAAAGAGTTAAAGACCTGGAAGAGAGCAAAATGGATAAGATGAAGAACTAACTGAGGGCGACCAAACCAGAAGTATTTGTCTGAGCCTTGAACAAGAGGAATTCCTTGTACAACCGCATGTTTTTCTGTGATTTCTAGAGCCATTTTTGCCAGAATTACTTGAAGTTTTGTTCCAACCGCCATTATTATCTGCCATCAAATTTTACCTCTTTTTACTTCAACAAATCAACCACTCATTATTATTCTTCTTTTCAAAGACTAATTAATTGCTACTTACAGCCAAAGGAAGTATGGATGCCCAAACCATTGTGTGCCATCCTGCATATTACATTCAACAACCCAACCATCATACATTAGTTGTCATTTCAAACAGACTTACCAAGAAAACACAATTTGAATCCTTGTTTATCTCGAAGTTGGTCTGCTGACTGGATCCATCTGTTATTACTATATATATGGGTTGAGCCACTAGTTCAATGGCTTCACTCTTACTCCTTAAAATAGGAGATTGTGAGTTTGATCTCGTCCGGTGCATGTGTTGGAATCAAGTCATCAGACCAAATGTTGGAGAAAAGAGGGCAATACAGTGTTTTTGAACAAGAGAAGATCTCTTATCCTAAATAAGTAGTTCGCTTACCGTCAACATTTAGCAACAAGAAAACCACAAATGATGCCCACAGGACAGGACTGTCAAAAACACACAGAAATATGGCAATTAAACAGAGAAAGCATTCGATTTTTCAGAGGAAAAAAAATGCATAGTTGGAAGAACCAAACATCATAACTAAATACTGCAAATTACCTTACTCCCACAACTACCTTGAAGTCATCTTCTAAGGATCTCTTTATATACTTTTGGAAGTTGAATTGACTTCCAGGAGCAAGATGGACCTATACATAATAATAGTAGTACATCATTGGATTGTCAAAAATATTGTAGCTAGTTCATCTAACTTAGAAAGAATTTGTTCTCTGGATTAAAACACTCACAGTGATAAATCCATTGCGCAAAGCCAAGTAATCAGCCTTACCAACAGACCTATAAAATTGCCTGAGGAAGCATCCCTAGAATCCAAAAAAAGTAATGTGAGGTGTTTGGTGCATATAATATTATAGATGATATCATTACATACTATTAAAAGGGGCCTACGATGTAGAAAAATAGCTTATTTCCTGTCCAGAAACTGGCATGAGCTTTCACAAATGATGTTTCATGAGTAAGCCTGAATCTTGAAGGATCTGCACACAAAAATATACCCACATGAGATTGAAGTGTCTTAAAGGATCATTGTCTTGCGGCATTACTTGTAATGTCTCAAAAGATTCGATGATCTACAATTGATATTACAAAAAACTCAAACTCAAAAAATAACTCTCATTCCAAAGGATTTAAACACTGCAAAATGATGTTTATGGTTAGATTGAGAAGTTGTGATTTTGACACTACGAAGGAAAACAAACGTGCATATTATTGGACACAGGTAAGCTTTACCATTGGAAAACTCGTAGTTATGAGTTGAAGTCTCCGCCTCCCATGCCTT